TGTTGCTGATTTTTTTAAAGACGCTAAATGGCCTACCACTACTAACAAACAGGCTAATTTATAATTGTCAGATTTCTTGATACTTGTGGGCTTTTTTCACCATGTTCCACCAATCTTCTGAAGTGTCACAAGTAAAATTATTACCAGTCAACCGCCTGGGAGCATTTTGGGCTACCCAGATAGAAACTGTGGCTAGGCTAAGAGAAGCCCCTCAAGGGCCAGTCTTCCTCAGATTTTGTATTCCTCTGTGTTCCCCACAGCAGTGAGCGGTGACAAGCAGGCAGGAACAGCAGCAGGTGGCGCCCTCCAGTTACAGCATTTATGATGGCCTTTGATGTTGTGATCCCCAGCTCTACAAGTGGTGCAGGGACTTGGCAGAAACTGGTGCTATAGCCCCTGGTCAGGTCTGGGTGTTGGAATTCCTCAACCTTTGACATCAGCCATTGGTACAGCTCTGAGCCTATGGTATCTGAGATTCTTAAACCCAAAGGTCTCATGGTCACAGATCTCTGGAAGTCTTCCAGAAACCATAGCCTGCTCTGTTGCTTCTTTCTTCCTATTATAGGTTCAGCCTACATTAGTAAATGTAGGCAAAAAAAGTAAATAGATAGATAAACAACTGGAAATAAGCCTTCTGTTGGTCCTAACGTTGCAATACCAAGGAAAACAACACAAGAAGTGGTCTCCCAGCTGACCCATTGAGTGAGCCTGGGCAGCCTATTATGTAGCCAGAGAATGGGTGTTTAGACAAGTTATGAACCCTTTACATGCAAACGAAGATTTGTGTATGCACCTATCACAGAACACCTGACATGCTAACGGAGGTGGGTATTTGTACTGGTCTTAGCATTGCTTATTTGGTGCCAATCACAACAGGTACCTCTTTTAGGCTACCAGGATAAATGCAAAGTCCTCTGGCCTAGGTAGAAATAGTTGTAGGAACATCTACAGTTTACAGAAGCTTATAGTTGAATGTCTGATACAAAACTGTGAAACACCCTGTCAGAAGCTGGGACAATCCACTGTGTCTTTCTCATGGCATGGCATCCTTGGTGGGCCAACATCAGCACAGTTCAGTTGCCTGTTTGACTGATAGTCCTTTTGCTTGGGTAACTAGGTTAGCAAGGGAATCCAGCAACTGTGAACTGGGCATCAAATTGTCTTACCCCAACATCTGTGCTTTAATATATGTAAGTGAACATCAGGAATACTAATAGTAGCAGTGATATTTAACCAGTTGTCAACAGAGCTTTAACAATGCTTAACTCATGCCCCATGCCCAGGGAGGGCTGGGCTCCCTTCTCTGTCTCAAAGCCATTACAATAGTATTGATGTTCTCTTTGGATCTCCATTGAGGAGGCTACATACTCTGAATAACTAATACTCCTTTCCCATCACCAAATGCCACCAACGTTCTAGGTACAAGGCAAAGAGTCAAAAGCTCTAGACAAAAACTTATGTCACATAATGACCAGTGATGTTCTAAGTGTCACTTTGTTGCTCTGCCATCTTTGTCTCTGATAGCTGTTGACATTTTTCTCAAGAACACTGGTCTTCCTGGTACTAGCTGGGATATAACTCTCCTAGGTTGATCTTGATCCCGCTTGTGTATTGAAAGATCACTTTCTGTTCACCAAATAGGGCTGTGTCATTATGATTAGTTACTGTCATGTATTTTATTGTGAATATCTTATTTTTTACATGTTTTGGAACTAGAAAATAGGTTTGGAGAAACTGTAAATTTATATTTAATGTATATTTTTAAATTGAACCATTTTCTTTAACACTATTTTGAATTTTTTTTAAAATCACCCCCCCAAAAGAAACATTATCAGTGGAGCCTATTGGAGGATCCATTGTGAATTTCTATTCATATCTCAGATCTCAATTCCCAACTTTTTCAATATGCTCATGAGTTATGAACATAATTCCCATAATTTAATATTACACCTCCCTCCAGACAACACACACACACACACACACACACACACACACACACACACACACACAGAGGGGGTAGAGAAACAGAGATAGACAAAGAGGGATCGAGTCCCTAAAAGACAATGCTACTTACTATGGAATGAGTCAGCCTGGCATGGAAACCACAAAAAGGGATGTGTGAAGAAGCTTTTAAAAAGCAAGGTCAAGAGGACTCTATGATTTATTTTGAATCTATGGTCTCTGTAGGAAGACTTACACAGAGGGTGCTCTGAGGTCAGTATCAAGGCTGGTACCTTTGTGACACTGAGAAGGTGTCATTGCTAAAGAGCCTTTGCTGTGGCTTGAGAGGCCCTTCTGCAAGGCTGTGGTCTGGGAAGTCTGTAATAGTTCCTGCTAACGGGCCTTCATGAGCCTCACTGTGAGAACCTCTAACATGCATCTGATTTTTGTTGTTGTTGTTGTTGTTGGGGGTCTTGACAGGAGGGGGTCATCTCAGTTCTGACAAATTTATAAAATAAATCTCAGAATACAACATGGAGTGGTGGCAGTTGGACCACATCCTTCAGTTATAAATGACATTGTTTTAAGTTTTAAAAGTTTAAAATGTTACTACCAAGAAGAGAAAGTAAATATGTCTAAAAATCCTTAAATTTTAAATTAAAATTTTTTTACTTAATTCTCTGTGTGTGTGTGTGTGTTTGTGTGTGTGCATTTATGCACTCATATGTAGATGTCTGGAAACTTGTGGATCCTGGGGATCAAACTCAAGTCATAAATGTTGGCAGCAGACATCCTAACCTACTGAGCCTTCTTGCTGACCCATTTAAAACAATATTTAACTCATTAAGTAACGTGACATCCTTTTAATATTAAAGCCTAGAAGCTGCTTATTTGGGGGACATTGTTTCTCAGTGGTAAAATTAAAATAAATGGAACCATAACCTATGTGTTTTTGGGTGTCCCCAGGTTTGCTGTTGAATATGAATGGTTCCCAAGACCAGTCCAAGCTTATATAACAGTCCTAAAAGTGTCAATCTCATGCCATATTGGATCCAACCTAGCCAAAAAGCCCTAAGAATTCAGAGAGATAGCATCAGAATGTAAAGTTAATTTTAAACAACAAAAAAGAAGAAACCATCTGATGAAAGGATAATAACAATCTTCCTTAACTGTGTATTGTGCTATGCAGTTCCTAATGTAACCCATGGCAGGTGACTTTGAATTTGTGTCTACTTAAATCACCACGCCATTAGCCTGGTCATTATAAAGTCCAGACTTCTGTGGTAGTTTGAATGAGAATGGCCCCATAAGCTCATAGATGTGATGCTTGGTCACCAGGAAGTGTTTTGCTGGAGGGTGAGCTTCGAGATTTCAAAAAGCCCACTTCAAGTCCAGAGTCTCTCTCTTCCTGGTTTCTGGGGATCCAGATGTAGAACTCACAACTACTTCTCCAGCACCATGTCTGCCTTTATGCCAACATGTTCCCTGCCATTATGACAATAGACTAAACCTCTGAAACTGCAAACAAACCCCACCTAAATGCTTTCTTATATCAGAAAAAATCAAATTCATTTTCAATACAATAAACGAATGAATCAATTGGTGGGAACATCGGAGAGGTAGGTTAGGTTACAGTCAAGTGAAGAAATTTCACTTTAGGCCTCAGATGCCACCTGATTGGTGGGGAACAGGGTTTTGTTACAGTGCTACATTCCAAAGGTTTTTGTCTGTTTATCAACATGTTATGTCTGACACAAAAAAGATGGGACAAGGAATGGCTCCTAGGAAGCTAAAGATCACCACGAGTTATTAGACCCTGTACCTGCAACACTCCAACCTCTCCATAGGCACTGGAGTTTTCATCAGCCTTTTTAGAAACATCTGCTTTTCCAAGGATTCTCATTCACAAGGCAAGAGCGTGAGTGAGTGGATGGGATGAAGTCTCTGAGCATCTGTGATCCACAGCATCCTGTCCATTACTTTCCCTGTGACTCAGACGTCCCCTCACACGTGGGGCTCAGGATGCGTAGTTGCTTCACACAGCCTGACTACAGCAGGTGTTTCTCATCCCTTTTGGAATATGAGGAAAGCTACATCATTCATTAGCAGAATTTTTCAGAAGTAGCACAGGGCTTAGAATATCTGAATTGTAAGATGATAACCTGGGAATTAATACCATATCACTAGACCAGATTCTAATAAATCCTCAACTGCCTGTAATTAGGAAGAAAGTGTGAGAGAGAAAGAGAGAGAGAGAGAGCCTGTGTGTGTGAGAGTGTGTATATGTATGTGTGAATGTGTGTGTGATAGCCTGTATGTGTGTGAGTGTGTGTGTGTGTAAGTATGTGTGCTCAAGTGTGTGTGAATGTGTGTGTGACAGCAAATGTGTGTATGTCTATGTGACTATGTGTGTGTGTGGGAGGGGTGTCCTTGCAAAACAGCTGGCTTTGAAATCATCTCCTGCTGGCCCTAAGGCAGTCACAAGAGCAGTAGCTGCTTGTTGCTGGTTGAATCTGTACCATTATCACGTGATAAGATTTAAATACTGACAGCACTAAGATGCTTCAGTGCCTTGCCATCAAGTGAGACTGTTTATAAAGGCATCAAGGGGATAGAAATATCGTGTAAGTCAGAGAGTTGCCTCTTTCAACTGTTTTCTCCTCCTGTTCTCTTTTACTCCTCTTGGCCCCTGTTTACCCGCAGTTTGGGAGGTAAGGTATTGTAGCTAGAGGAGAGTGATACTTTGGGAGAAATGAAGGGGACAGTTTGGTGGATTGGGCAAAGAGTAATCAATCTCAGGATAAAATGGCAAAATATTCAGAAATAAAAAGATGTTTGGGACAAAAAGTATATATCAAAGCTACTCTAGTCACATCAGAACAGAGCTAGCGCAGTCTCAAAGAATATGAAGAAGGAAGGGGGTTTCAGGGAGTGGGAACGTGATGTCATGAATACGTGGGATATAAAGCATTTGGACCCAACCGTGTAACTGAAGTCTCATAAGATTACACTGTGATAGCACATTCTTGTCACCTGGTGACCTCACAATGGCCTGAACAGATCTATCGCTCAGTGTGTGCGTCCTGTTCAGCGATGCTGCAGTCATATCCTCCACGCAGCATCCATAGGCCAGTGCGAAGCACTTCCAGGTACAGCTCGAGGATGACAAGCAGCAGTTACTGACCTGCATGTTTAGTGTGATACACCCTTTACCACTGTTTCACTGTACACTCCTACTTAGACAGAAGAAAAAAGATTGTAAGTAGAGCCTCTCCCCACCCCTGCTGGTCCCCCCTTAAGTTTCCAGAATGAAGGCATCTACATCTGGGAATCCTCAGCCTTGAGCCTGTAGTTCCTCTGTAGCTGTTCCAATGGTAGACGTGGCGGTGAGACTACAACATGATCCAGCCTGGGAAGACTCAGCCTGATGAGCATCCTTGAACTCAAGTTTGTAACAAAAAAAGCTTTAAAGATACAAGAAAAGCCCCAAATACGCTCTGCCATTTGGTACCTTAGACACCTTAATGCCTTTTCTTCTTACAGTGGCTCCCAGGGAGACTAAGTTCAGCATCATTCAGGAAGCAGCCCTTTCTCTATGCTGGCTGCTCCCTCAGTCCTGAACACTCAAGGCTTTCTTCTCCCTGGACTCCACAGGCACAGCCAACATGTATTTATACATTCAGAAAACGATCTTGTCTTACCAAGTTGATCCTTAGAGACGGTTCAAGGGGAAATTTTGTTCTATGTGCTTTTGAAGCTAAAGATGTCATAGCACAAAACTCACTGATTTGCATGCTTTACAGGGATGGGTTCTGTATAAGTGGGTTGTATCTCAATAAAGCTGATTTTTAAACAAGAGGTAATGCATGCAGAATAAAGGGGGTGAACTATTTAAGAAAAAGAAATAAGGTCTCCAGACTAGGAATTAATGACTAATAGAATTTATAGAATAAGAGGAATTTACAGATGTTTCCACTTTAAAGGAAAAAAGTTTTCAGAGTCACAGGCACGTCTCAGAAAATGGGACAGTTCAGAGCCTATAGACTTCCAGGAAGGAGCAAAGGATTCTGTTAATTTTGCTTTTTTTCATTTTTCATTTGTCCATGTGTATATACACGTGTGTGTGTGTGCACGCGCGCGCGCATGCATGCACACATGTGTTTCTTGTGCATGTAAAGGGCCCAAAGTTAATTTTGAGAATCATATTCCAACTTGGAACTCACAACATAGCTGATATTGCCCATGAACTCCTGATCTTCCTGCACCTATCTCCCAAGGTTTTACTGACTGGTACATAACACTTATGGGGTACAGTGTGACATTTTGATATATGCCGAGATGAGATCAAGTTGCTTAGGTTACACCTCAAATACAGAGCATTTTTATGAGAAAAGTCAAACTCTTCTAGTTATATTGAGATATACAAAATAGTATTTAATCACACACAGTGATCTAGAACACCAGAACTCTCCACTAATAATTTCTTATACATTGATTAAGCTTTCCCTATGCTCTCCAGTTACAACAGCATACCTTGTACTTGAATGAAATCAGATCTTTCATATTCAACAGATAAAGTCCTACAGTGTTTTCCTTCTGTGTCTACCTATTTGCCCATCAATAAACGAATGGATGCATAAAGTGTGGTTTATGCGCCCGATGGACTACTGTTAAGTATTCAGAAGGATGAAATTCTGCCATTTCTAGCAATGTGGATGGATGGGAGGGAGTCGTGACAAGAGGTGACTGACCGGCAGGGGCACTGTGTCTTGAGGAGCCAGCAGCCTCCTTTTCTGAAGTCTGTCGCTTTGCTATGCTCTTCCCTATGACTGACAGGTCTTCTCTATTCTCCTTGGTAACTGACTGCACCACGCTCATTCAGGACAGGTCTCAGGAAACATTTTTAATAGAAACTGACATTCCCTCACACAACTCCCTGCTCTGTTTTGTCCCACATTTTGTGCACACACATCACTTTGCTTTGTAATTTTCCTTTTGACAAGTCCTCTGATCTCCCCCATAGTCCCATAGGCACTTTGAACACAAGAACCCACCGTCTCTGTATTATAGACCAAGTACCATGAGGAAACCCTTTCTTCCATCTCACCACCTAGCAGTTTCAGCCCTGCAGTACTTGGCAGGAGGCCACCACACTCTGGACCTCCTTGTGGCTCAGCTGAACTGCAGTATCCCCCCATCCTAGTTCCTATCTCCTTTAGGTGTTAAAATATCTTTGAACATTTTAAAAGGTTTTTAATGTATGATATTTGGAGAACTTCTCAATTTCTTGTCCTAATTGTCCCAACTCATCCAGCAGAAGAAGGAAGATGAAAGATGGGGGACAAAGGAAAAATAGGGATGGACCGAAGGGAGGTAGGATTAGCACCATTTCTCCTCGCTTTGAAGTAAACTAAAGGGTTTGCTTAGGCTTGCATTTGGAGAGTACTGCCTATCAGGACAGGGATGCCGTGGTGGCGGTTAGGGCATTGAACATCTGGTTTCATGGCATTCACAACCAAGATGCAGAGACAAATGGAGGCTGGGAGTCAGTCTTTCTTTATTTCCATGTTTAACTCCAGCCAAGGATCCCAGCCCCTTGGATGGTGCTACCTACATTCAGAATGACCATCCTGTTCCCTCCACTGATAATCTCTTTGGAAACACTCTTCTAAACTTGTGCAGAACTGTGTTTTTGGTGACACAAATCTAGTCAGGTTGACAAGGAAAACTGATCATCACAGGCTGGAAACAGAGGAGGGGAAAGAAAGGAAAAGGAAGGAGAAGAAAGGAGAGGAGAGGATTGGAGGGGGGAGGGGGAGGGAAGGGGGGAGAGAGAAAGGGAGGGAAGGGAGCATGAATTCGATTAGATAAAATGCCAGCAGTTTGATGAGCAATGGGGCATCTCCAACAGCATTAATCACTTATGAGCCCAGAACCAAAGAACAGGCAGGTTGTCTAGACCCACTAGCATGTAGCTCACATCCAAGCCTCACAAATAAACAGGAACACTGATCTGTGTTCACTTGGCAGGGATTTGTGTTATACTAGTGCCCAGCAGGTTCCAAAGTTGATGTTGTCTCTCGTCTTCCTGCCAAGAAAGTAGAGAAACACAGGGAATGCCTCTTTGTGAGTGCAATGCCAGCTGAGGCTCAGCCTTGACCAGCCATCAAGGACACGTGAACCTCATCCTGGAACACTCAGCTGTGATGCATGGAGAGGCTAACTAGCAGGTTCCAGCACTGCCTTTGCCAACAGAAGGTTCAGTGAAGGCAACCAACCTGCTCATTTTCCTGTCTTATCGCCAGCTGTTTTCCATGTTCTCAGGGTTTGGAATCTGACTTCTATGCTCTGGCCTCAAGTTACACTTTGTGTTAATATGGCTGTACCTCTGCAATGAACCCAAGCCCCATATTTCATCCTCCTCTGCCTATGATGGAATTTTCTTGGGTGTAGACAAGATGACGTAAATTTCTGTATCACTCCCAAAATAACTGAGAATGTTTTCAGACAGCTCTTGATGAGAAAGAAACACATCTTTCCCTCACTATCTCCCAGAAGTCAGCCTGTCTTGAGAGCTGTAGGGATTGGTATGGTTTCCTTCATGTTTAGACATGGTTTCAAGTGATAGCATTACAAGATGAAAAGGCATGCATTTGGGCTCCACTTGCTTCCTGGAACTTCTGCAAGAGAAGCTAAAATTCAGAAGTAAAGCTAGCATCTTAGATTTCTACACAGACTCATTCCTAGGAAAAACATAACAAATGGTCATGGACCTGGTAACTGAAAATAATAAAATTTAATTCTCTCACAGTTCTGGAAGCTAGGACTTCCATCAAGTTGAGGGCATGGCCATGTTACTTTTGTAAGTACCAGGGGACGATCCTTCTCTCCTCACCCAGCTTCTGAGACTATGCAGCTTGCCTGCACATCTTCGAAGCACCTGCCTTTATCGTCACTGGTGTTTCTTTCTAGGTTCTCCGTGTCTCTTTTAAGGGCCTTTATCACTGGCTGAGATCCCCACCCTAGTCATAGGCAATCTACCTTTAGATATTTTCCTTAATTACACCTGCCAAAGACCTTGCCCTAAATGAAGTCACTTCAATGGTTAATATTCATTGTTAACTTCACTCGATTAGAATCACCATGGAAACACACTCATGAAGGCTTCTAAGAGGACATTTCCAGAGAGATTCAAATGAGGAGGATAGAGCCACCCTGGCTGTGGGTAGCACCATCCATAACCTGGGGTTCAAGACTGAACGATAATGAAAAAGAAATTGAAGACACTGTTTCCGGGGTATGGATGTCAGTGACTAGCTGTCACCTCCTGCTTCTTCACTGTGTCAGACTGTGAGTAAAAATAAACCCTTTCTTCTGTTGCTCTCATCTGATGTCCTGTCATAGTGACAAATACAACTAAGACAGCCACAGGCAGAGGTGATTTGATGTACATTGATGAGCTAATCTTGCAGTTTATATGAAGGTACAAAAGACCCACAATAATCAGCTCAGTATTGAAGAACTTGAGGGATTGGCATGAGTTAATATCAAGTCTTTCTATGAAACTGCAGTAATCAACAGAGTATGATACCGGTTAACAATGAGACCAATAGAGCAACTGACACAATGGAAAGGCCAGAAATGTACCCACATAAACGAACAAGCTCAGTTGACTGATTTCTGACAAAGGAATGGAGGCAATGCAATGGAGAACTAGATTCTCCAGCAGGTAACCATGGATCCCCTATGCACCCACAAACAGCAAAAACAGATCTAACATAAAATGCTACACTTGTCACATAAATTTACCTGAGGTGAATAATAGACTAAAATATAAGTTGTAAAGCTATAGGATTCATAGTTACTAAGAGGGAAATTACCTGTGCTTTGATGGGGTTGTCCTACTGTTTATGTTTCTCTTATTGGTTGATGGACTAGGAAGGAAGGATAGATGGGGCTACTAGAGGAGGAGATTTCTGGGAAGTGTAGGCAGGCAGGAGTCACAATGTGAGCCCCAGAAGAGAGGATGCGTCAGGTGTTCTCCAATAAGCGAAGAGTGGAAATACATAGATTAATAGTAATGAGTTAATAATTAAGACAGAGCTAGCCAATAAAAAGCCCTAGCCACTGGCCAACAGTTTCATAATTAATACGGCACCTGTGTGTTCATTTAGGGCAAGGCGGTTGTGGAACCAGTTAGAAGTCTAATGTTCCTGTTATAAGTTCCCAACTTTCTGGAGTTCTTTCTCTGCTTGAGTTCCTGACCAAATTTCCCTCAATGATAATTCAAGTTTTCATCATAAGATGAAATAAATTGTTTCATTCTCAAGTTACTTTTGGTCATGGTGTTTATCATATCAACAGAAAAAACTCTGGAACAGCTGTCAAGAGAATCTTTAGGGCACTAAAGGTGCACTGTGCTACATGACCCTGCTAGGTACATGTTGTTAAATGTTTGCTAGAAATCTGTGCACACAGCAGTGTAAACTGTGAACTAGGTGAGGTATGGATTATAACAATGTACTACCCTGGTGATGGGTGTCAAGGCTGAGGGGTAAGGGTATACCAACGAACTCTCTGCTTTCTACCTGGCTTTCTGTGAATGAAAACAGATCTAAAACTAAAGTTCATTAATCTAAAATTTTCTATTAGTGGAAGCAATATCAAAGATGTGCATGCAATAACAATTAAAGGGATGCCAAATGAAAACATCTCATATGCTATAGTTAAATGTTGGTATCACAGCGTTGCTGGCACGGACTACAGTTTGAGAACTGTGAGGACACAAAGCATGTCATTGACTGCCCTTAAAGAAGGTAGTCTGTGGGTTTTAAACTCTAAAAAGTATGTTATACTTAAAAGGATACACACAGTGA